TGGAGAGTATATTAAGTTTGTCATTCCGTTTATAACACCTTGAAATATATATATATATATATATATATATATATATATATATATATATATATATATATATATATATATATATATATATATATATATATATATATAATATATATATATATATATATATATATATATATATATATAAAATTTTACTCAAATGTATAAATATGTATCAAATGTATATTATGTCTGCAGGACTAATGGCATTGAAATGGGCTATATAGCTTCACGTTTAGTTATAGTCCCCATATAACTGTACTTCTCCGTATTCGGTATTTTGATGATCTGAGCGACGTTATTCACCGGAATTGTTTTAAATTTCGTATTTGAAGTTCCTAATAGGTACCACAATCTATGACAGAAAATTGTCTATACAGGTCCCTGTCTTCGCATAGCCCTCACATAACGATACCTCTTTATATTCGGTATTTTGCTGATTTCAGCGACATTATTCACCGCAATTGTTTCAAATTTCGTATTTGAAATTCGTGGTGGGTACTGCAGCCTATGACACAAAATTGGCTATGCAGGTCCAGGTCTTCGTATTGCCTCTAATAATCGGTTCCCTACATTCGGCATTTTGATGATTTTAGCTACATTATTCTCCGGAATTGTTGTAAATTTCGTACTTGAAGGTCGTAATACATGCAAGTCCACGTCTTCGTATGGACCCCAAAATTATGGCAACTTCCTATATTCAGTATTTTTAGAATTTTAACAAAATTTTTATCGGATTCTATTTCTTATACATTTATTTATTTTTTTTAAATTTCCCAATGATGGAGAGTATTCAAAGTTTGCCCCGGCCGAACTTACTGCTTTTTAACTTGTTAACATTCACATGATACCTATATTGTCCATATAGATTTAGTAGACTCGGGTTTAGCCCAGTATTTGCACCAGGACTTTTGTATCAAGCATACTAGCCTGCCCCCAAGAAAAAAGTACTTTCCTCGGAATCATTAGTACCTAATCTTGTACCTAAATGTATAAAATGTACTTAAATGTATTAAATATGGTATTAGGGGAAGTAACCAAGGCTGGATATCTGAAATTTGGAATAAGAGTCTTTAATGATGTGTATGATATACGAAAGGAAGGGCTTGTGGCAATTCGAACAAGAAAAAATCGAGAAATTTATAATGAGAATGAAATTTAGAAGGGTTGATATATGGAGATGCTTCTGATTAGGTATACTATAAATAATGTGGAGCGTTTAGCTATGGAATCGAATATAAAAATTCCTTCTATAACGTATAAAAAATACTAATTGTACTAAAATTAATATAGATTGTAGGAAATAGCTGAATATCGGTATAGGGGTCAAAGAACCTATGTAGCATTTAAATCAGGACGTGAATTCGGAAATCCATAGTATAATATGAATGAAAATTTCTAAGTGGTACTAAATTTGATATATGTGTAGGAATAAAGCTGAACTTACAACTTTTGCTATGAGGATAACTGTGGGTCCAACAAAGGACGGTTTTTGGACTAGTGTGCTATATAGTGTACGAAAAATACTAAATTCAGTAGGGAATGTAAGAACAGAGCTGTAGAAATAAATGTTTGTACTAGGATCACTGTGAGTATGTAGTTTTTTTGCAAATGCGCGCCATAATATGTACAAAAGTATTAAATGGTAATACATTTAATACATAAAAAAGAGCTAGAATTGTGCATTTCGATATTAAAATTACGGCTACAATTCATTCTATTTTGGTGTAAAAAGGTTCCACATAAATTCACTTAATATAAATACTTCTTTCCGCATACAATGTAATTTGCTAATAGTGGTATATTCTTTAACCATAATAGGGTTCTGCTTATTGGTAGACATTTTCCAAATTTCCTTATATAAAATGACCACAATTTGGTTTTGTATTCATTTAATTATTAACTGCAAATCCCATTAAATTGAATATGCTTTATTTTCTAATAAAAATTTGAAACAAATGTTGCACTAATTTAGTTGATCCTGTTATCATTGGACGAGTGTGTTCCCCAGTCCACACCTGAGTTCGAAACCAATTAAAATGGTTAAATTTCAATTTGTGGTTATTTCATTGTGGAATTCCTGTTGTGATTTCACAACATTGTCCATTGTAGTTGTCGATTTTCGCCACGGTTGAGTTTTCGTTTTTATTTTGGGACTTTCTATGCTGTCGCCATAACAAAACTAAACAAAACAACAAAAAAAGACTCTTTCCTATTCGAACTTAATTGTTTTTGTAGCCACAAAAAAAAACCGCCTGTAACAATATTGACACATCAAAATGTTCGGCGAAGTAGAAAAACAAAAGCTTATGCCGTCCGTGGCTGGCCACCGCCGAAAATACTCTCGGAGTGAACACCATATCATTTAAGAGTGGGCTACAACATGGCCAGCCTTCGTTATTGTGAAAAACTAGATCCCTGTCCATGGCAGCGGGAATCAGACAATAAACAATACCAACTTCCATAGATTATGACTTAAAGCTGGGGGAAGAGACCAGAACCATTGGTGGACATTGGAATTGCATGTCTCCCCAAAATGGAGCATTGTCTTTGTTGTATTGGCAACATTGTATGTTGTAGAAATTGAAAATGCATGCAAATAATTGCCATAGGAGGGATTTTCCGCCACAGCATTATATGCTTCTAAGTTGCCCGCAGTTAACGAAGTATTTTGGAATTCACCGTGTTGCCAATTCACAGTAGGCTTCTGTTATATTTTAGTGTAATTTAGAAGTTGCTATATGAAATTGAGAAATTCAGTTTGAAATTCTGGCATCTATCCTGTTTTGAAATTGAGTCTTCCTTTAATATTCTCCATTACGAATTGCAGTAAAAAAGGAAATATTACTATTAAATTTAGTATTTTCAAATGGCAATAGTGATTAGCCCAGAACCCCCACCGTAATGTAAATTTTTTTAATTACATGGATAAATACAGGGTGAGATAAACAACTACAACAAATTCAAACGCCATAAATTTTACATTTTTTTTAAATTTTATTGAATGAAATAAACAAAATGTTGGAAATACCATCAAATTTTAGAATAAGTTTAGATTTGTTCGAATTGGTCACCTTTGGCATGAATTATGGCCTTCACACGGACAATGAAACCGTTACACGCAGCCCCAATGCAGCTCTGTTGTATTTCGGCCTATTCCCTGCGAAGCGCTTGCTTGAGGTGATCGACCCTTTGGTATTTTTTAGTACCAACTTGCTTTCGAAAATGCTCTAGACACAGTAGTACAACGGATTGGTATCCGGAGATTTTGGTGGCCATTGTGCGCTGGAAATGAAGTGAGGAACCTCATTTTGTAAACATTCTTGGGTAGCGCGTGCTGAGTGCGATGGTGCTTAGTCCTATTGGAATGTCCAAGGTCTGCGCCAAAAATGTTTGCGTGCCCAAGGCTTTAATACACCCTCCAGAATATTTTCGCGATAATATTCGGCATTTATTCTAATGTCACGGTCGATTAATATGAACGGAGAGCAACCATTGACTGTTATGGCGGCTCTCACCATCACCATGGCCGGCGCTTGAGTTCTAGTGGCCAGAGAAAACCAAATTAGGCAGTTCTCAACTTTCGGCCAAGCCAAGCAACTCCTTAGCTTTTCGTGTCAATTTTGTTGCGGTGCAAGTGCTTCCACTTTTTGGAATTTCAATATTTGCCGAATGGAGTATTGCGATATGTTCAGCTCACGAGCCATTTTTCGGCCACTACTTCCACAAAATTATATACCATAAAATTCTACTATAGGTCCTGAAAGACATTAAAAGTCTACAACTTACCTAAACGCCAGGGATTCATATAAATCAAAAACACATTTTGGGGTTAAAGCCTTACTTTTTGTGAGTTTGTGCAAAAGTCTCCAATAAAACATCATTTTTGAGGGATGACCTCAAAGACAAAAATATTTTTCATCAAATTTTACCATAAGTCACCATAGAAACGGAATGTTTATATCCACTGTATATAAAAAAAGATATGTGCTTTAAGTTTTTCAAAAAAAAAAAAAAAACGAAATATTATCTTATTTTATTTTTTAGAGTTGACGCCTAAAGTAACTTAAATCCTCGATTAAGATGCAAAGTGTCTCTTTTTGGCTACTTTTTAATGGAAACTTTTAAAACAACGATACACGTGTCTTCTTTTTTTAGGTCTACTTTAATATTTTTCTGCATTTCCCTGTAATTATTGAAAAACTTGAATTTTGTCGCAGAACACAATTGAAATTTTCCAACTGCTGTTGTGTATAAAGATGGGGCTATATGATTTATTAATTTTCTATAGGTAGATTGTATGTGCGCAAATATAAAAATTCTATGAGTATTGGAAAGTTCGGCTTCTGAAAGGTTTAATGGCATCTGACCGCATATAATACATGCAGGCTTCCTTAGAAGATTTCTTCATAGAGTTACAAGACTTGTCTTTCATTTTGAAAAAAAAAAAATAAAGAATTTTCCTGATACCTAAATTGATCTCTTGTGAGATGTTATTGTTTAAGAGAAAATAGTTTTGAAAATATCAAATAAAATTGAATATGCAAGCGTGGACACCCAAGTAATAAATCATTTTTTTTACATTCCTTAGTTGTAATACATAAAATTAATCCCTGCAATATTCCATTTGCACTCACAAGGTATTAAACTATCACCAATAACACCAATATCCAATAACTTGCCCCACAGCAAGGAGCCCATCTAACTAGTCAATATTCAGAGACTGACCACAATGTCCGCCGCAATAGTTAAGCAAAATGCTCACGTTTACAATTTAATTAACTTTCGATTTGTTACGGTCTAACCCTAAAATACTTGCACACTCAATAATTTTCCTTTCATATTGTGGAAATATTGAGAATATGGCATGGGGCATTTTTTGTTGCTATCTGACCTTCATTAATCTTTTGTACATTTTTTGCTCAATTTTAATTTATTTCATTTTTTCTCCTCTCTCCCCATTCTACTTGCAGACCAATCAGTCGAACGCCACTTACACAGGTGTCGTACCTACAAAAAATACCAACATTACCGCGTCATTTTTCACCAAGTTCAGCGGCGACAGCAACGGCAGGTTCTGTTGGTGGACCATCGGCAAGTTCAAACACACCACCTCCATTGCCCCCTTTGGGAAGTCTAAGACATCTAGGCCAAAGTAATGTCCCATCGTCATCAACAACAGCAGCATCGGCCTTATCGTCGACAACTTCGGGGCCAATGCCCAGTAGTTCTTCTGCTGGGGCTTTATTTAATCCTGCCGGCTTGCCAACATCACCATTGCCAATGCAACGTCAATACCTTCAACAACAGCAGCAGCAGCACCAGCAGCTACAACAAACACCTCATTTGCCACCATTACCACCACACCAGCAGCAGTTACATCCTCATCACCACCATCAGTATCTGCCACCACATCTACAGACGCATCATCAGCCACAGCAAACAACAACCTCATTGCCACATCACCACCAACAGCAACAGCCATCACAGTACTCACCTGCGGCATCTGCATCGTCATCAATCTCCAAGTATTCCTCATCATCGCTCAAGCATCCACCTCATCACCATCAGCACCAACATCAGCAACAACAACAACAGCAGCAGCAGCAAACACAACAACAGCATCCACACCAACAAACCCATCAGTTATCACCGGCCATCTCTTCACCATCACCGCCCTCCCTGTTACACCATCCATCGGGTGGCTTTCATGCACCCTTTATGGTGGGCCAACACCTAGACATCCAACGGCAATCGCATTCAGATGATGACAGTGGTTGTGCTCTGGAGGAGTATACATGGGTACCACCGGGACTACGACCGGACCAGGTATGTTCACCACATTCTACTGTGACTTCTCTTTGTAATCACTAGCAAGTTGGAAGATATCTTGAAAATGATAATTATATTTGCCCTCCTGACACTGTTTTTTGTTCGGCAATCTAGGCATTTGCAACCTCAGCAACAGCAGCATAGCCTAGTTGGCATTGGAAGTGACTGATTCTATGCAAATGAACGGTTAGACATAAATCAATTACAGCTGACCATAACAAGGCTTATTTTTTCATCTTTGCAGCAGCAGCATCAGCAAAAAAGTAGTTCAATAGATATTGAAAAGAGGTCATTTGATGCTAGTGTTCGATGTAAAAGTAGGTTGAAGTGACCTGTTTAATTCAGTTTGTGGGCTCGACATGATTTTTGCCAACATTTTCATCATAATTAATTTCTAGAAAATTGAGATTCGTTGTCATTAGTCAAATATGTCTATGTCAACAGATGCTTGCCAGGACAATCCAACAAGAGACTGCTTTCCCTACTAAAGTGAATGTACCTATTTATTCTAGCTTTAAACTAGATGTAATATGATATTGACCTACACAAAGTCTACAACATTTGGGATACTTTTTCATATTTTCACGAAAATTATAAGTTTTTACGATATAGCCCTTTTGTAAAGGAGTCGCGGGAATTGGTATTGAGCCGATATTGGCATGATATAATTCCAACAATGTACCAAGGTAGTACTACATCAGATACTCATTTCACTTCATTTTTGGCTGATAAATACCATTTCCCCAACAGATCATATATTAGCAGCAATATTGAGACGTGCAAGGTTTGAAAAATCGGTCACTTATTAAGATTTCGTTTAAGATTTCCATTTTTATACCCTCCACCATACTATGGAGGGTATTAAATTTGTCATTCCGTTTGTAACTCCTCGAAATACTCATGTAAGACCCAAACTATATATATTCTTGACCAGCGTAAAATTCTATGTCGATTTAGCGATGTCCGTCTGTCTGTCTGTCCGTCAGTCTATCTGTTGTAATCACGCTATCTTTCGAACGAATCGAGATAGAAAGCTAACATTTTGCAGACATGTTTATTTTGCCAGTAGGCAGGTTATGTTCGTAAATAGGACATACAGGTCTACGTTTTCATATAGCCCCCATATAACGGTGCCTTCTTATATTCGGTATTTTGATGATTTCAGCGACATTATTCACGGGAATTGCTTCAAATTTGGTATTTGAAGTTCGCAATGGATACTACAGCCTAAAACAGAAAATTGTCTGTGCAGGTTCATGTCTTCGTATAGCCCCCATGCAACGGTGCTTCCCGATATTCGGTATTTTAATGGTTTTAGCGACATTATTCTCCGGAATTGTTTCAAATTTGGTATTTGAAGTTCGTAATATTCTTTAGCACTGAAGTTGACAACATTTTTCAATAGAGCAAAGTTTGAGCAAAACTGTGATTCAATTCGGATTTTAAATTAGTTGACCCTGTGTGGAGAGGTACCATATGTATAGCACCGATATTTTCAATATTCCAAGGGAAAATGTTATTACCATGTATTAATTTCGAACAAGCAGGATACTCTCTTCTATGGGATATATAATTTGAATTATTCGCTTAATGCACTCAAAATTGTGGGAGTAACAATCTTAAACCCGGTAAAAGTTAATAGAAATATAAGGATATATAAGGGTGGGGTCAAAACGGAGTTAAAGCAAGCACCAAACAATTATTTTAGACCTATCATATGGCATATACTCTCTGTTATATGGTTTCCCATAAGTAGTACAAGAGCTCAGATTTGCTCGTTTTCACTGGGAGACGAAGTGTTCGAAGAGTAGGATTTTTATACAGTGCACACTCTTTAATCTTTTTTTTTATATGGGAGCGCTGCAAGAGTAAATTTTGCCCCACTCTAAAATGAGCAAAACATGACTTCAATTCGAGAGACATCGAAAAATAAATTCGCTCGATTCTATTTTCTACTTCCAAGAATGCTGATGCTCGAATTCGAGTAAAGATTGGAAATCAAATGTCTGATTCAAATGTCATATACCCTCTTTAGGCATATGATTGCGAGTATAAAAGATGTAAACCTACCTCATTCGAAATGCTGAAAAAGGTACCGATAACTGGGGATAAACCAAAATCATAGTTCTATATAGTAATTATAATAACTTTTATTAAATACTTTGGACTCAAATCTGTAGGATACATAGAAGAACATAGCAATACCCAGCACTTATGCAAATATACTACTGGGCGTTTTACTTCTGGTGGTAAGCATTAAAAGCTTGACCGACCGAAAGCAAATGGGGTTTTCCTTTTTATACCCTTAGCCATATGGCTACAGAGGGTACGTATCATTTGGGTACGTATTATTTGATGCAACCAAAACGTATCTCATCAAAAACACCTTTTTAGAGCCTAGGTCTCTTTGGACCAAATTCGTCTCAGGACATTTGGAGTCGAGTCGTTTACACGGACAATATCTTATCCTATAGAAAAAGAAAGAATGATCCAATTCGGTGCAAACTTTGAAAATCCCAATATTTTTGTCAGCAGGGTGAAAGTGGACACCCTTTTTATACCCGTAGCCATCTAGCTACAGTACCCTCTGTAGCTATATGGCTAATTTGATACAACCAAAACGTATCTCATCAAAAACACTTTTTTAGAGCCTAGGTCTCTTTGAACCAAATTCGTCTTAGGACATTTGGAGTCGAGTCGTTTACACGGACAATATCTTACCGTATAGAGAAAGAATGATCCAATTCGGTGCAAACTTTACAAAATCCCAATATTTTTGTCAGCAGGGTGAAAGTGACATAGCAGGGTGAAAGTGGACAATAGCGGCCCACTCCATCGAGTACCTCCCCCACAAAGAATCATAACTTGGAACAACTTAAACTTTCATAAAATTGCGAAATAAAAATCAAGCTTCACACATTTCAATATTTCCAAGGTTTGGGGAACATATCGGCCTACTTCTTCTGGTACCTCCGTCACAAGTGTTCAACATTTGAATAATTATACACCTTATAACATGCAAAAGAAGTCAGCGATAATTTTCAAACTTGGTTTAACAAAATATTTCTTTAAATTTATCGACTAACTCCTTCTGGTACTTACCCCACAAGGGGTCAAGATTTTTATAGCATTCGAAAGAAGTCAGCGATTTCAACTTCGTATACCTCAAAATTTCTATTGACTATAGACCTAATAGATATTTTGGTCCACCCTTCTGGTTAAATTTTTGACTAATAATTATTCCTATAAAGCTGTAAATATGTTTTCGATTTTCTTAAAATTTTGCACATTCCAATATTGTTATCGGCATTCGATGAAGCGGAATACTTCGGCCTACTTTATCTGGTAAATTTTCCAGAAATTATTACATATCACTTATTATTATTACATAAACTTGACAAAATGGGTTTCGCAAGATTATTTTTATCATGGATATCATCTTATTTGCAAGGGCGTACACAGAGAGTTTCTTTCAATAATGTTCTTTCTAAACAGATAACTGTGTACTCTGGTGTCCCCCAGGGTAGCCATTTAGGTCCTCTACTTTTTGTATTGTATCTAAATGACCTTCCAACGGTTATACGTTACTCTAAGATCCTAATGTTTGCTGATGATGTCAAACTTTTTTGTAATATGGACTCTCATATTAGTTCCCTTAACTTGCAACATGATATCTACTGCCTTGTTAATTGGTGCAGTGCTAATGGTATGACGCTAAATCTCAAGAAATGTAAAAAACTGTCTTTGTTTAGAACACAACCTTTTAAAAATGATTACCTCATTGGTTCTTACAAATTGGACAATGTAGACTCATTCGTTGATCTTGGTGTAATTTTAGACAAAAAATTGCGTTTTAATTTGCATATTGATTCATGTGTAAATAAAGCCAAGTCATTGCTGGGTTTTATAAAAAGATGGTCAAAAGAATTTGACGATCCTTATGTGACTAAGCGTTTATTTATTAGTTTGGTTCGGCCCACTTTAGAATACGGTTGCGTATTGTGGAGTCCTTTTTACAAAACATATTCTGCTAAATTGGAATCAGTACAAACCCAATTTCTTTTATTTGCTCTCAGAGGATTAGGATGGGATATAAATGATACACTTCCACCATATGAGAATCGCCTAAAACTAATTGATCTTCCGACACTGGAAAAGAGACGTTTAATGTTAAGAGCTTTATTTATTATAAAACTTTTGCGTGGCGAAATCGATTCACAGTTTTTAACCGGTGAATTAAATTTTAATATTCCTGCTCGTAATACTCGAAATTACATACCACTTAAACTTTGCTTGGCTAAATCCAATTATGAATCTTATAATCCTATGAGGTCTTTATGTGATATCTACAACAAATTATATAATGAGATATCATTGACAGACCCTTTGCATGTCATTAAACACACTATTTTACATCTTTAGTATTAAAGCAAGTAGTTGCCAGATTCTCTACTCTTATCTGTTATATGTTGTTTTATTTCCTGTGTGTTGTCTTTATTTGTGAATTTAAACAACCGGCTGATGTATAACTGTAGCTGGTTTCCCTAACGTACTAACCCTCCATAGTTCGGACTATGGGGTGTACGCGCTCTCTACGTAATTGGGAGGTGGCCCCCTCGGTCGGCAGGGGCCTATATCGACTACAGAAAGTAGTCGATATAGGCCAAATCTGCGCCCAACCCTTTCGGATCCTCCCACATAAATGGTCAAAAACTAACAGACATTGACTGAGGGTGTACATGTGTCGGCATAACTGACTGACACCTTTTTCTTTTTACCCTGAAAGCAAGAATTTTTCAAGCAAGTTAAACAATAATATTCTACTACATAATTTTGTGGGTGATCGTAAAAAACTAATACCTTTTTCCAATGGGAAAAGAAAAAACTTTTATGCAAAAGTATCTGCATCCACTTTATGCTACAAACTCCAGTAAGATCGGTAGGAGAATAGTCATATGAGGGCCATACAAAAACGGGAGCCTATATAGACAATTTTA